AAATAAGTATTGGGTTAATAACAAACAAGCAAGATTTCTGGCTTTCTCAGACCTGCAACAACTTCTTTAAGAAGCTCTTCTGTCCTCCACTTATGTTTGACCTTGATATCTGTATAAGACACCTGTCTACAGCTTCAAACAGTCAGACTCCAAACTCAACCATGGCCAAGACCAAAGAACTGTCAAAGGACACCAGAAAGAAAATTCTAGACCTGCACCAGACAGGGAAGAGTGAATCTACAATAGGCAGGCAGGCTGGTAAAAAAAAATGGAAGCCATAAAAGACCATTGATAATCTCCCTCTATTTGGGGCCTCAGGCAAGATCTCATCCCGTGGGGTCAAAATGATCATGAGAACAGTGCGCAAAAATCTCAGAACTACACAGAGGGACCTGACAAATGACCTGCAGAGATCTGGGACCAAAGTAGCAAAGGCTACTATCAGTAACGCACTATGCCAAGAGGGACTCAAATTCTGCAGTGCCAGGCATGTCCCCCTGATTAAGCCAGTACTTGTCCAGGCCCATCTGAAGTTTGCCAGAGAGCATATGGATGATCCAGAAGAGGACTGGGAGAATATCATGTGGTCAGATGAAACCAAAATAGAACTTTTTGGTAAAAACTCGACTCGCTGTGTTTGGAGGAATAAGAATGCTGAGTTGTATTCCAAGAACACCATACCTACTGTGAAGCATGGGGGTGGAAGCATCATACTTTGGGGCTGTTTTTGTGCAAAGGGGACAGGACGACTGATCCAGGTTAAGGGAAGAATGAACGGGGCCGAGTATCATGAGATTTTAAGCCAAAACCACCTTCCATCAGTGAGAGCATTGAAGATGGAACGTGGCTGGGGCTTCCAGCATGACAATGATCCCAAACACCACTCGGGCAACAAAGGAGTGGCTCCGTAAACAGCATTTCAAGGTCCTGGAATGGCCTAGCCTGTCTCCAGACCTCAACTCCATAGAAAATTTGTGGAGGGAGTTGAAAGTCAGTGTTGCCCAGCAACAACCTCCAAACATCATTGCTCTAGAGGAGATCTGCAAGGAGGAATGGGCCAAAACAGCAGCTACAGTGTGTGCAAAACTGGTGAAGACTTACAGGAAACGTTTGACCCCTGTCATGTTACAAAGTATTGAGTTGAACTTTTATTACTGACCAAATACTTATTTTCCACCATAAATTACAAATAAACTCTTTAATCCTACAATGTGATTTTTTTTTTCCCCTCATTGTCTCTCATAGTTGAAGTGCACCTATGATGAAAATTACAAACCTCTCTCATCTGTCAAAATAGAAAAACGTATACAATCAGTGGCTGACTAAATACTTTTTTGCCCCATTGTGTGTGTGTGTATGTACACATATGTACATATATATATATATATATATATATATATATATATATACACATATACATCGCTATCTTTAAGTAAGTAAGTAAGTAATCTTTATTTATATAGCACCTTTCACAGACAATGACATCACAAAGTGCTTCACAAAGTAAAAGTAAACAACAAAGTGCTTCACAAAGTAAAAGTAACCAAAATTTAAATAAAAGCCAGTCTGAATAAATAAGTCTTAAGATCATTTTTGAAAGAGTCAATAGAATCTGAGCAGCGCAGTGACAGAGGGAGAGCGTTCCAAAGCCTCGGGGCCACCACTTGGAATGCTCTGTCTCCACGTGTTTTAAAATAAGTTCTTGGTAACATCAGCAACATTTGATTTGAAGATCTCAAAGTCCTGATGGGACATAGAGGCTTCAAAAGGTCCAGTAAATATTTGGGAGCCTGACCATGAAGTGCCCTAAAAGTTAGGACCAAAATTTTTAAATGACTCCTGAAATGCACAGGGAGCCAATGCAGGGAGGCCAGAACAGGAGTTATGCGAGCTCTTCTGTGGGTTCTAGTTAGCAGCCTCGCTGCAGCATTCTGCACAGATTGAAGGCGAGCTAGGGAAGATTTGTTCAGACCCATTAAAATGCTATTACAGTAATCTAACCGAGATGAAATAAAAGCATGAACAATCATCTCAAGTTCCTTCTGTGATACAATTCCTTGTAGTTTAGAAATGTTTCTTAAGTGGAAAAAAACAATTTCGAACTAGCAATTTGCAATGACTGTCCAAAGATAAAGAACTATCAAAGACAACACCCAAATTTCTGAGATTATTATTTACCGAAGGATTTAAAAACGTAAGATACTGCCTGATTACTGGGATTTTATCATCAGGGGCAATAATAAGAGTCTCAGTTTTATTTGCATTTAACTGCAGGTAGTTGTCATTCAGCCATGTTTTGATCTCTAACAGACAGTTTCTGAGTTCTGTCAATTTATGGAATTGGGAGGCTCGAAAAGAACAGTATAGCTGAATATCATCAGCATACAGATGGTAGGACACATTAATGTAACGTTTCAAAATAAAACCTAAAGGGCGTAAATACAATAAAAAGAGGACTGGACCCAGAACAGAACCTTGGGGTACCTCACAAGACAGCTGTGCAACATCAGAGTGAACATTATTCATAAAAACAGTAAGACCTTTCAGATAAATAAGAAATAAACCAATTTAAAACAGTGCCAGAAATACCAAATAGATCTCTTAGTCTATTGATAAGAACAGTGTGATCCACTGTGTCAAAGGCTAAAGTCAAGTCCAATAAAACCAACACAGTGTAGTTTCCAGAATCAGCTGCCATCAATATGTCACTAGAAACTTTTAAAAGTGCTGTTTCTGTGGAGTGCAATTTGCTAAAACCAGATTGAAAAGAATCCATGATGTCATTTACCGCCAAGAAGCAGTTTAATTGTTGTGCTACAACCTTCTCAAGGATCTTTGATAGAAAGGGAAGTTTGGAGATAGGTCTGTAGTTTTCAGGCAACGAAGAATCCAAGTTTGGCTTTTTTAGCAAAGGACAGACAATAGCAGTTTTAAAATAGTGTGGGACAGTGCCAGAACAAAGAGAGGAATTTATCACTTGTACAATACTGGGGCTAATACAGGTAAAAATATCTTTAAAAAGCGACGTAGGAAGGACATCAAGGGGACTCGATGAGAGTGTCATATGACCCATTAAATCTGAGATGTCCTTGATTGAAACTGGGGTAAAAAAAAGGACCACTTATCAGGGGTCAGTGACAAAGGAGCCGGTAGAAGGGAAGATGAAGGACAAATACTGGCCCTAATGCTGGAAACTTTATCAATAAAATAATTTAAAAACCGATTGCAATCTGCATACGTACAGTGAGGAAAATAAGTATTTGAACACCCTGCGATTTTGCAAGTTCTCCCACTTAGAAATCATGGAGGGGTCTGAAATTTTCATCTTAGGTGCATGTCCACTGTGACAGACATAATCTAAAAGAAAAATTTGGAAATCACAATGTATGATTTTTAAATAATTTATTTGTGTGTTACTGCTGCAAATAAGTATTTGAACACCTGCCAATCAGCAACAATTCTGGCCCTCAAAGACCTGTTAGTCCTCCTCTATAATGTCCACCTCCACTCCACTTATTATTCTAAATTAGAAGCACCTGTTTGAGGTTGGTAGCTGCATAAAGACACCTGTCCACCCCACACAATCAGTAATACTCCAACTACTAACATGGCTAAGACCAAATAGCTGTCCAAAGACACCAGAAACAAAATTGTAGACCTCCACAAGGCTGGAAAGGGCTACGAGGCAATTGCCAAGCAGCTTGGTGAAAAAAGATCAACTGTTGGAGCAATTATTAGAAAATGGAAGAAGCTAAACATGACTGTCAATCTCCCTCGGACTGGGGCTTCATGAAAGATCTCACCTCGTAGCGTATCGATGATCCTAAGAAAGGTGAGGAATCAGCCCAGAACTACATGGGAGGAGCTAGTCAATGACCTGAAGAGAGCTGGCACCACTGTTTCCATGGTTACTGTGGGTAATACACTAAGACGTCATAGTTTAAAATCATGCATGGCACGGAAGGTTCCCCTGGTTAAATCAGCACACGTCCAGGCCGTCTTAAGTTTGTCCATGACCATTTGGATGATCCAGAGGAGTCATGGGAGAAAGTTATGTGGTCACATGAGACCAAAATAGAACTTTTTGGTCTTAATTCCACTCACCGTGTTTGGAGGACGAAGAATGATGAATACCATCCCAAATACACCATCCCTACTGTGAAGCATGGGGGTGGATGCATCATGCTTTGGGGGTGTTTTTCTGCACATGGGACAGGACAACTGCACTGTATTAAGGAGAGGATGACCGGGGCCATGTAGTGAGAGATTTTGGGGAACAACCTCCTCCCCTCAGTTAGAGCATTGGAGATGGGTCATGGCTGGGTCTTCCAACAAGACAATGACCCGAAGCACACAGCCAGGAGAACCAAGGAGTGGCTCCGTAAGAAGCATATCAAGGTTCTGGAGTGGCCTAGCCAGTCTCCAGACCTAAACCCTATAGAAAATCTTTGGAGGGAGCTCAAACTCCGTGTTTCTCAGTGACAGCCCAGAAACCTGGCTGATCTAGAGAAGATGT